CCACCCATGCCACCCATATATCAATAAGAAATGTCGATTTTTCAGAAAATATTTTCGAACCCATTTTCGCACGATGTATGGGTTTTCTGTGGTGTTATACGGACGGAAGGAAACATTGTATGCACGAGAAGCCTGTGTCGGCTCCGCTATATTTTCTCTCTTCTCTTTTCTCTCTTCACATAGGGTACACAAGTTGTACAGGTGGATGCTTATGACTTAGACAACCTTGGTGAAAGGGCTGAATACAGAATTTTTCCAGGTAAAAAAAACAAGGATTTTGGAAGAATACTCTTGTAGTAAATGAGACGACATGTACAGATTCGTTAAATCATGAAAAATCAACAATCTGATTAAATATTAAAATCGTTTTTAGGTGGATTTTGTTGTTGGATCCAATACCTGAAAATCAGAAATTGGATATTTTTAATCAGAAATTGGATATTTTCTTTGACCTCTGACTTAAAATTTAATTTAATTAATTTTTGATTTAATTTCTTAATTTGTAATGTGATGTCYAGTTATGTATAATTTTGGAAGCAAATTTTAAAACTTTTTTGCTTGACCTTGATTTTGACTGCTGATTTACTACACACATGTTTTTCTATCYTTTTCTATGCAAAAAATGAGATTCTCCACTAAAATAAAAAGGATAACARTGAACTCAAAGCTGGACCTTTTTCTATTTTTCACTTGATTACTAACCTTTTTGGAAGTTGATGAACACTGAAAGAACACGCTTTTCCCTGAACCTGATTGTTTTTCATTGACAGATTCCAACAAAGGCAACCTATATTCAATTGATAGCAGCACAGGACAGATCTCAGTCAATGGACAACTTGAACTTGGAAGTCAAACACTTGTCGTTACGGTAATGCTAAATGATAGCGAAACTTCTAACCTAGCTAATCGTGCGACTTGCATCAGGAGGAGCCGACGGGGTCTGTTCTTCTAAATAACTTGTACGAATTTTTTCATGAGAAGGGGATTTCGAGCTACATTGTTGACAATCGCACAAGCAAATGTGGTGCCCTGCCTTCTTTTCTTCTCTGCCTTGGTTATAATTTTTTTCCGGCTTGTTTCGGCTTTTCCTCCCTCATCTCGCTACAAATTAAAGGCACGGTTACAGTTCAAGGTGTCACAGGTTGTTGTTGTTGTTGTTGTTGGAGCCGCAAAGGAATTTCTTCAGCATCAGTGCTGCGATGTAGAACGATATAACCACTTACGAACTTGCCTTACAAACGGAAGTAGGCACTCTTGAATAGTATTTTTATATCATATCATCGTGCAAATATCATATTTGTTTGTATTTCATTACAAGGCGAASTCCAAGAAGCATGGAGCAGTTATTACATTCGTTACTATCACCATGGTTGCTGTTCGAAATCTAAAATTTGATGCAAGTGTTTCGGAGGGATCGCAGAACGTGGTTGTGATGGACTTATCGGTACGTGATGAGCATCATGAGATCTCGTAGCGTATTGTGAAGTGCAGTGGTCATAATTAAACCCATGAAATAGATATTACGCTAATACACCTTAGTACGCTCTAATTGCATTGCTTTTCGTTTGTGTCTATGGACGTTTAGCAAGATGGTGGTTCTGCAGAACCAAAGCGAGGATTTGATTGGTTCACAACATTTCTCGTTTTCACAATATTTTGGCTGCAGATTTTTTCAATAGTTCCCTTGACTCCCTCSACGATTATTACTGAATAGGCATGACAAAGCCAAATACAACTTTTCCCTTTGATTTTCTGGTTGCTTAGCAATTTTCTTCATCATCCAATGTAAACTTGGAAATCAACGTCTTGGGAAAAGGCCATTTGGCTATCACCTTTTACTAGTCAAGTTTTGTTTCGCGGKTTTTAAAATAACTTCACTCTAGTAGGAGTAGGTTATTATGTTTGTATTATTTCTTTATCAGACTATCGAAGCCAGCTTTAATGTGTCAGGAGCCTCATTCTCCATTCAATCTGGTAACACTGGAAATCATTTTGTGCTTACTGCAACAGAACTGATAGTTGCTTCAGTGGCTCTGGATCGAGAAGCTATTCCAAACTACTSGATTGTAGTCAAACTAACAAAGAATACCACTGTTTTAGGATTGGCTACGGTGAGTAGTGGACATTTGGAAAGAAGTTATTATAATCTGTACGATGGTTTTTGATTTAGCTTAGAGGGCATCTTACAAAGGTTAACGATAGGGACTTGAGTCCTCGATTTATTCAATTACTTTCTTCAATGTTGTATCACCTGATTGAAATTTATTATTGTACTATATTCCTCATTTTTCCATATAGATCAATATAAGCGTGGGAGACGTAAACGATAACTCACCCCACTTTGAGCCTTCGTCCTACAACGTCAGTGTGAACGAAGACTTACCTGTTGGTAGTAATGTGGTTAAGGTTACAGCGAATGATCCTGACTACGGTCTTAATGGCACTGTTAAATACGCCATAACCGGGTTTCAAGGTATAAAATAGAATAGATGAAATCCCCGTCAATAAATAATAGTTGTTGATTTTTTGCTTTTCAACCATAATGCAGCATATATTATACAAGCCTGATCTCTTTGCGGTTTATATATAAACCAAGACACCACGACGAGTTGCCAGTTGTGCGGCTCTCTGCATTCTTGAGGGTCTCAATGGGGTTAACCGTGGTCCGTGAAACGGCTGAAAAATTAGCCGTGAGTCGTGAAAATGCGAAAAAATTAGCCGTGAGGCGTAAATATTTTTTTTTATAGCGTTAGCCGTGATTCAGTTTTGTCCCTAAGAAGGACAGTTAACTACAGTCGCGCTTTTTTTTTGTAAATTTAAAAAATAAAAACTTTAGTGGAGATCTTTCAAAATTCACTTTTCCAACCCCACCCCCTCAAAATTCTAATGGATCGCACCTACCAACAAGGTAGTAACTGCAAATTTGACATGTGAGATTGATGATAAAAAATTATAATAACTGAATGTCTATAACTAACAAGGGGACACTGTGCTACCACACACACTATCTCTAGCACAAAACAAATTATGAAATAGTAATAAAGAATCGTTTTCATTTAAAAAAATTCTGAAAGTAATCTAGGTAACCGTGATTCGAAAAAATTAGTCGTGAGTCATGAAATCGCCAAATTTTTACCCGTGAGTCGTGATGCGTACCACCCCGTTGCGACCCTCATTCTTAGGTTCGTGGCGTCCGACTATACACTCGCTAAGTCCAACAATAGTGTTGGAACTTTTTCTACGTGTTTTTACAACCAAGATTTTTTTTTGTGTATCTCAAAACTCCGCAAATCGTCAATGTTATTGTAACCGCATTTTTGTTTCTTTCCTTGTGTTCTATTTTAAAAGTCCTTTGCGCAATAGAATCTSTTGTCATATGAGAGCGAACTGGATAAAAGAAGTATTACAGACAGATAGATAGATAGATAGATATAGATATAGATACGTGTRGCCGACTTTCCAGATTTTGCAGACCAATGATCTGAACTTTTTTATTTATACGTAGTTTGTTTACACCCGATTTCAAATGAGTGCGAACTCTCGAATTTTTTTTGAACGCTAAACTTTCACTCGACCGTCATTCACTCGACCGCTTGGTAACCAGGCACACGTGTTTAGTAAGTGATGCGTGACTTTCTGTAGCGGGACTTTGCATTTAGAATTATGGAGGAAGAAGCGGTGGTCTTTGTTCGAGATACCTGTGGTCCTTGCGTTTCCCAGAACATTTTACTTCACTCAATGCAATTGAGAACAATTAGAAGAATATCAACTAAACTTGATTAAAAAATATAATTTTCTATCTGATTTGTAGTTTAAATTTGGCT